CAGAGTGAAGAGATGCTATCCATAAGTAGATGACCTAAACCAGAGACCTCAGCTAACCTCTTCTGCTCTAAGTAACATAACAGCTACTTGTGAGAGTGCTCAGTGGCATGTGATGTAGCCACTGTATCTATACACGCTGATGTGAAATGGACTCAGCACTGCTTTAAGAGGAATGTTGGCAATTAAAATGTACCAGACTGCTCAAAAATTGGCTCATCTTTAGAACTTTTAAAACAATCTGATGAGAACTTCTTTGGAGTCCTTAGGAGTTATGCTTAGAACAACCCAAATATCTTTGGGTGTAATAACATCTGTTTGCCATCTACAGTATTTAAGAAAATCCATTTAAACTAAGGAGCAAACTGTCTGGCCTGATGAACCTGCTAAACCCTGCCTTTGCTGCAATATGTTCCGAAAGAAAGGGTTACCTGAGATAAACTTGGCCACCTGGTCCTGGTGCAGCTGTGAGGGCTTTGGCTGTGCCACCCCCAGACCCTTCAACCATGGCCCATCTCAGCCACACCAGTACACATCCCCTTATTAAAGCCCCGTTTTGCCTTTGCTGTTCCAGTTGAAATTCTTGTTTCCCTGGGAGATTTTCCTGATTAAATGCTCAGGGTCCTGCTGATGTGTGCAGTTCTATTCTGCTGAGTCTTCCCTAGCACAAACATCTCACACAGTTTTAAAGCAGAAGGCACTCTATTTTACCATAAGGTAAAGGTTAAGACTACTTAGCAAAGAAATTCCCAGAGCAAAGCTTTCGCGATGTAGATGCGATTGCAGTTATAATTTTATGAGTATTTTAAGCCCTGTAACTTTTACTATAAGAAACATGCACACCAAGGATCAGATCACAAAAGAAAGATTTTTGCAATTGCTTAGAAGCTTATAGAAAATATTTTAAAAATAACTGTATTTGTATCTAAAAATTAACTATATTTGGGCAAAAAGATAAAAGATAGCATTTCCAAAAATAATCCCTGCATGTATCTGGGATGGATAATATTTAATAAAGAATCAGTGGTCCCATTTTTGGAAGACAAGTGCTTATGTTTAAGCATGGCCCCCTTAAATTTGAAATAATTGTCCATTCATTTCTTAATTTCATGAAAATTAGGGGAAATAAGAACACTTTTAAAAACTGCATTGATCTTAGTAAAAACACTAGTGATTTCAGAATGATTACATAACATCTACTCCAGTGTCAATATTCCAGAAGCCCTAGATGCTGGATCAGATCCTGAAGTGCTTGATTATTATTTTTATGCACTGTAATCAATAGGAATGTTACTTGCATTTAGTACTTTGTTGGCACAGTCAGACTAAAGCATATTTGATTGCTGAAAAAGACAGAGGAAAACAATCTAAGTTGGGAAGCTGTAAGATTGAGAAATGCCTTTTAAAGTACAGTGAGCTTATCCTTCTCTAGTGAAATGAATAGCACTGTGAGATGACAGTTGCCTTATTTCGGGATATAGTCAGAATAAAAGATTATTCATTTGTTGTAGACAACATAATGTTAATAAAACTTACCTGATTCTGTCATTCTGCTTTTGTTGTTAGCCTTTGTCATTGTTCTTTCAAAAGGTAATTACATTTAGAGAAATTAAGAGTCAATCAAAGCATTTCACATTTTAAAACACTTGGACAAAAAAGCAAACCACAGGCCATACTTCAAATCTTTAATTGGTGCAATATATGAAGATTAACACTCAGTACTTGAGCTTAGATAAAATGGCCAGGTTTAGGTATAAGAATGCTTTAGCTAAAAAGCAGCCTTATTTAAATAGGTGGTAAGAACAGCTTAAGCTTACAGGGGGTGTGAGCACAGAAGTCAGTTGTGCAACACAAAAAGCGTCTTCTGACATGAATAAGTAACTGCTTGTGTGAATAAGCATTAAGGCTGGAGGATAAAGATCTTACCCTTCCTTTCAGGAAGGAGTTCTCCATCCTATTTCTATCTTCTTTAAGAACTCAATAAAGCCATCCAATAAACTGTAAAAGCATAACCTTTACTCTCTCTTACTTAATTTAACCCCTTTCTAATATAGGCAGCTTTTGCTCTGTTTTGGCTTGTATTCTTATTTCTTTTATTTCCCCACACACACACTTTTTACTTGTAAATTGTTTTTGCTCAGTTGTCATTTCTATTCTTTGCTTAAAATAGTGACAAGAATCTGTAATTACAGTGATGGAATAAAGTTAAGAGAAAAAGTAATGAAAAAGCAGTATTAATTCCCCCCAAAATTGTTGGGCTAAGCCAGTTTCTAAGAAGGAATCCTTTAAATTTCTCATGGATAAAACAAATGGTAGGTTTGTGTTGGTAAATTAGCTCTTGGATACATATTGCCTGTGAGTTTTCTGGGTGCAGGAGTGTTGGCTCACTGCCTGGAGCAGCTGGGGACACGAAAGGGTGGTTGAGGGCTGCACTTCCCGCACTGACCCCCAGAGATGTACTTAACTGCAGTGGGACCTGTTCAGATGGGCTGTGAGAGAAGTGTGAGAGGTTCAGATTACTCCTCTCCTGTGCTGTATCTACAGAGCAGTTGTGAGTTTTAAGCAAGGAGCTGACCTAAGGGGTCTCTCCTGCTAAAGCATCTGTGAAATGATGAGGAACCAAGAGGTCAACAGATGCTTGATGATGATCACAGAGCTCTTATTGAGGGTTGGTTTAAGCCTTCTGGCATATAAGATGGTGGTCAGCAGTGAGCTTTGATACATGTTTGTATCACTCTTTGCTAATACAAAGGCGTGTGGGCAGTCTGTTCAACAGAAAGCAGTGTCCTTTCTGAGTCTACTCATGGTACAGTGTGTGCATATGGCAGAGTACAGGAGCTATGTTTCACTCTTCCTGTAGCACAGCAGCGCTCTCTCCTCACCATGGAATCCCAGGCACCAAGAGTGTAATTGGCTCTTGCCTGTGGGTGGAATGGGGGAAACCTGCCTGACTGTTCCTTGTACAAGAACCACTCTTAGGTTGACTGTGTTGCTTGAGTTCACATTTCACATCCATTTTTAGGGCTCTCTAGAAAAAAACAACACTCTCAGACACAGATATAATTATGCATTACTATGTTTAAATGCAAACTATTGTTGACAGAGATGATTAGCATGCTTTACTCTTGATACTGAATAAAGGTGGATATTACATTTCATGGGTGTATGTTCACACAAATTAAATTTGAACTGGCAAAAACTCTTGAAGAGGGAGAAAAACTCCACCTAGATTAAGGATTTAATAAGAGCATATATCCTGAAACTATGAAAGACAGGACCATACTATTCTCTAATTTATATCAATAAAAATTAGTGTTCTATAAGATTTTTCATTGTATATATGGGATTATTGTCCCTATATACTCTGCTTAAATTTTGATGCTTAAAAAATGCCATTTTGGCCACCAGAGGGCAATAATTTCTTCTGTTCCTCAACACCAGTAGGAATTTTTTTTGAGTAAGAATCCGATGTAAATATAACCCCCTGACATTTTTGAGCTTTGTAGTATGTACACTTTCACCTCTAAGTTCAAAACTAGCTGCTCTTCGTAGTGACTCAGAATTCTTAACTTGTGGTAGTTAATTAGTGTATGTGAAGAAACTTTGGTCTTTTCAGTTCGTAGTTCAACAGGATAGTTGGTTCTATTCTAGGAGGTCTTTTAAGATCAGATGAAAACGTTTATGGGAAAATTAGAAAAAAAAACATTAAAAAATAGCTTTTCAAGATTTAAGGACTAAAAATATCTGTTTCTTGGTTTCCGTTTTCATTAGCATTTACATTTATTTCTCTGTCTACACACAAACATCTAAGCTCTCGATGTTTAGACTGAATAGATTTCATTTTTACAAGAAACTGTCATAAAATTCTTTTCATATGTGATATCTGAATGTGAGTTAATTTGAATAAGACCTCTATTGTATGCTGCTCATGGAGTTACTTTTTCTAACTGGATTTAGAGACATTATCATATCTTACGATTAAAATTTCAGTAGAATGAGCTAGAAGCTATTCAGGGGAAAAGTATTGAAGGATGTTGTCTCTGTCTTCTAAACAAATTTCATGCGAAAATGAAGATTTAGTAGACAAGCTGCCTAATTGCTGGCTTTTTGGCCACAGAGCTCCTAGAGATATTGTTCAATAACTGGGGTCAACAGATTAGCAGCTTTTTCAGGTTTTTAAAGTTTTATGAAGTATTTTCGGTGAAGACACTCATAAAACACTAATGGTTTAATCCTGACCAAGGTTTATTCATCTTGGCGTATTTTGCAGAGTTTCTGAGTGGTCAGCTATCCCACTGTGGTGATCAGGCTCCCAAAAATCAGGCCGCTTGTCTGAAGTGGAGCACACATATGGATGCCCTTTGAGATAGAGCCTTAGTATTTGGATGGAATTATGAACTTGAGCTATGTGGAATAGATATAATTAAGACCATCAAGATTTCTCCAGTATGCCCCTACCTTTTCTATTTGCACCATCTACCAGAACCTCTAGACAGAAGGGAGGAGTGTGTCTGCAAGAGAAAGAAGCTTTAGCATCTGTTTCAGAGCAGATGCTCAGCATCATGTGCTGCCCAAATTAGCTGGCCATCAGCCTCAACCTTGCTGGAGTCATCTCCTGCCCTAATATTTGAAAGAACAATCCTTTGCAGTAGGAACTCTTGCTGAGTGACCTGTGGATTTATTAATTACAAATCAAGCTAAGCTGTCACATGAACCTTCTGTTTCAGTGTTCAAAGCCATAAAAGTTTTCACTTAGGAAGTACAGATTGGAGCTAATGTACTTTGTGAAACCCTTCACAGATATTATTCCTGAAACATATCAGTGATACTGAGAGAAGTTTGGAAGAATATTTGTTGTAGAAAAGCTTAAAATATTGCTAGAAAAAAGAGAGATGAGTAAGCATTTAGAATATTACTGGTTTTCAGACTTACCAAACAGAGTAGTTTGTATCTGACATGTCAAGTTTGGAGTCTTTAGCCTTCTGTGTTACCTGAGACTCAAACCTGTATAAGTCTGATTGGGTCATCCCCAGACAGGCTGTGTCCGCAACCTCAGTATGCATTGATTTAATTTTATGTAATGAGATTCATAAATTTTCCCTACTAGCACCAGCTCTGCTTCTGCAGCAGAAAGGTAACCAAGGAATAATGATCACTGCAAGTATTGTGAAGGGGAATCCCAAGTGCTTAAAAGTCTGTTCCAGGAATGTAGCTTTTTTCCTGCTTTTCTGCTCATCCCACGATGCAGGGAGCACTGAATACTCTTGTGTGCTGAAAAGGCGGCAGGCAGAGAACAGAGAGGACTGTAGGCAGCTACTCGATGGAATTCACCATATACCCTGCAGAGATCATGACAAAACAACTTGAGAAATATCCCCGTTTGTTTTACTGTTTCCTGGGCATGGGACCTTCTGGGATTGTAAGCAACAAAAATGGGATACCACAAGTCTGTCTTAACCTGGTCAGGACCTCACCACACATTTCTTTCATCTTTGGGAGTTGCCAGATGCCTGGCTTGTTTGTCAAGTGTTGGAACAGGCTGCCCAGGGGAGTGGTTGAGTCATCATCCCTGAACTTATTTACAATACTTAGGGACATGGTTTAGCGGTGAACTTGGTAGTGCTGGGTTAACAATTGCAATTGATGATCTTAGAGATCTTTTCCAGCCTAAAAAATTTTGTGATTCTATGGGGCAAAGCTGTTGCAGCACATCAGACTGTGGTCTTTTGTGCAACGAGGAGTGCCAGTTCCATCAGGCAAAAGAGCCACCACAAAGGCAACTTGATTCTAACTGAGAGGAGTTAGGTGATACTGCATTTATTTTTATGTATTTTTTCACCAGTGTTAATGTCATGCAAACTAAACATAGGTTTCCAGGAGTAAGAGCTACCTTCCTGAGTTGTACCCTACTAGACAGCCTAGTGACACTTGTCCTCTTTGCGAGTACCCTGGTGCTGTGTGGTGACGACACTCACCTTAATATACGGAATTTATTTAAAGCTGGTCACACTGATTACATGTAAGTTCAGCAGGCACTAGAAGTGTATATACACCAGTGCCTAAATTAGTCATTCTGGGGGTGGGCTTACATTCTTTAACTAAAAAAGAGCAGATTAAAATAAATCAGTGTAAAAAATAGATTCAGAATATTAACTATGCATTAGTATTCTAGATACTTAATTTTAAAAGTATAAAGCTTTTCTCTAAAAAGCAAAACAACAGAGAAACCCTCAGACGTTCTTAGCACTTTTTAGTGATAGGAAAAATGAACTAAAACCTGTTTTCAGTTCCTGGTGATGACAAGCAACCAATGCATGTTGATGTTATCCCCACAATTTTTTTTGGTATATATAGACAGAGCAATTGCAACTTTCTCAGTTTTGTGAGAAAGAGCTTTACTTTGTCTGCAAGTTAGCCTTTGCCATGGCTAAAGTGACAGGTTTTATTTCTTTTGAATGTAAGAAATAAATGGAAGAGCAATTCTGCAAGTGAATTTTGGAATGTTCTTCCAGTATGAGATAAGAACTCACAATTTCCTAATAGGATATTATGCATTAAGTTTATAGAATACATATGGAATAAACCCTTTTAATAGATTGCTTTTGATCTCATGATTGCTGTGGTCTAATGTTCAAAATGGGAAAACGGTTTCTCAAGTGAGTTAATCCCTATTCCTTTTTGACAAAATCAAAAGGGGAGATCTCATTAGTTTATGAGTCATAACGTTGACTACTTCTAATTAGATAGCTGGTTTGAGTGAGCACCACAGTCTGAAATTGACTGTAATTTTATTTTGATTGACAAATGATTCACTTGCTACAGAATAATAATAAAAAACTCCATAAAGATAAAATGAGTACTATATCAACATTTGGATACTAGCAACTACTGCTTGTCTTGAATTTTGTGATGAACATTTCCTTTTTTTGTTTGAAAATGACAACTAGATGAATCAAACTTTTTAATGGAAATGTCTAGTTTTGCTGAAACTCTAATCATTGAAAGTTTTCCAGATCCATTAGGCAGTTTCTGTGCTTATAAACACGTATAGCTTCCAGATAACCCCAAACCCAACTGAAATACCACTGTAACACTTTTGGGTTCTGAGTTAGACATTTAAATTTTGATTTTCCACCTCTTAGAAACATCTTATATGGTAAACTGTAACTTTGGGGTTTTTTTGTGGAAAAGTTGGACAAGTTGTGTTTCTGTCCTCATGCAGAACAGAAAATATTTTGAAATCTTGAAGTTATTGTTGGGGTAGAGAAACCTACTCAGCTCTGATAGTATTTAGTTGTAAATTATTTGAATAAGTATGTCTAAAAATTTTGTATTCATTGTCTTTAATATTGCAAAGAGCTTACCATAGGATTCTTTGTAATTAGCTTCAAATGTCTTCAGTGATATTTCTATTTGCAAAGTGCATATAATTTCTTCCTTACAGTCGTGCACTGACAACAGAAGAGAACAGCACAATAGGTACAGAAAAGCAGATAAGAAATGGCCCACGTAAGAACAACGTACTTTGTGGTTGCATTAGGAAATACAAGTGTTGAAAGAGCTGATGTTATGAATTGAAGTTCCCTGCATTATGTGAATAAATGCTGTTTTCCCAAAAAAAGATCAACAGAAATACTAACAGTGTATTCAACATATGTTCTTATGGAAGACATACTTCAGATGCCAAAGGAACTTTTAGACAAGCAGAAAAGTTCTTAAAGGGTTGTGCAAGCAGGTTGGAGGGCTGGATTGCTTTTGGAAGTATAAGGGGAATTTGTACTTTTGTGTTCTGGCTTCAACATGATTTAGGGAAAACAGGATGGGGTCTCAAGTTTAAACTCTGATGTGACCAGATATTCCATGTTGTTACCCTATATCAACATTGTCAATATTATGTGCAGAAAATTTGATGTATCAAATATATTCAGATCAAGCATTAAACTGGAATACAAGCACTTTAGGTAGAAAAGTCATGAAAATGCTTAATCTTTTGTAAAGTTACAATCCTTCCCCCACCCTGCCTTTTTCTGCAGTACCAAAAAGCTAGTGTTGTAAGGCTCTTTATTCCATACTAACCAGAAGAGATAGGGAATCCAAAATTGGGAAAATTGATACTATAACTTGGAGATTGCTATTAATTTTCTAGCCCTAAAGGGTTTTGTGCAAAAATGCATGGCTACTGTGTTTTAGCTATAGCAATATGCTTGAAACATCTCTTTAAAAACCCTTGACATTTCCTGAATATTTGTACAGAATGTTTGTCTGTCTGTGTGCTATGGTATCCTTATTCTGTGCTGTAGTAAATACAGTCACTTCCTACTTTCTGTTTTTTCACTCTTAGGTAGTGTTCATAGGGACTGAAAAGGCTTTCCTCAAGGGATGTAGCTGCAGCAAGAGGCTAGTGAGAGATTAAATAGATTAGTGAGAAAGAGGGGAACTATAGTAATCTTGTTTGTTGTGAGTTTATGATTTAAGGTTTCTTTGGCATGAGAATTTCTTAACAGTTACACTTGTACCAGATAACACAAAGACAGTGAAAAACAAGATGAAATTTCAGTACCAGTGTAACTTCAGGATTTTTCAAATAACTGAGTACTCCACAGAAGTGGTCTCTCAGGCAGGCAAGAGCCTAGAGTTACATATGCATTACTGCACATTTGTAATCACCTATGCAAATCCTTGCAGTCACATTGGTTGGTGAGGACTGATTTGCATAACTTCGGTATGATTATTTCTGAATAACTTTATCATGCATAAATCCCATACTCCTGACAGTTATTTGTCACTATTACCTAATCAGAGTACAAATATTTATAATAACTGTGATTATGGAAATCTCTGGCTTTGTAATCATTGGCATACAGCAGTAATTGGTTCCAGTTTTTATTTTTATTGGTTAGAGACAGTGAGCTCATCCCACTGATGGGCTGCTTCTTGTAGTGATGAAAGCCTGGCTTTGGGTACTCTGAGAGAGAGAGCACAGGTTTTGTCAAGAGAGTCATCATCTTTCAGAAGCATTTTGCCAAAAGCATTTTGCCAGAGGCAAAGCAGAAGATTTGTCTGGGGAGGCATTCCCTGGAAGCATTTTCCTTGCAGGGACTTGTCTGTAGAACTGTTCCCCTGAGGCTTTTTCCCAAGAATAAATCTTATTTATGTCATAATTCAGATGTTTTAACAACCTATTGTTTTTTTATTTTTTAATATATATTTATATATATGTGTCAATATAAAATGGACTAGCTGTAGTCTTAAACCTATGGATGTAATATGTGTCAGAAACAGGTTTCTTGAACTATCTATTCAATTTAAAATCTCTAGCAATGTGCTAGCTACAAAAATGGCCACTTCAGCTTCCCACTTCTTTCATTTAGAGCAAATTCACTGCTACCTTCTCACACTCCAGAAGGCATACACAGAGCCAGAGTTGTTCTACCCTCAATTCACATGCATAGCGCTCCTTTCTGCTGATGGCAGTGACACATACAGTCCAAGAGGAAGAGACCATTCTACATTTAGTTCTTTCAGGCAGCAAAGCAAAAATTAAATTCATCATCTCATTTTTGGCTTCCTATTTTTCTTGAAAATGATCTAGGTGAAATATTCTATTGCATTTTGCAGTTTCTAAAAACTCGTCTGTCACCTTCTAGTGAATATGAAGTGTCTTTGCTTTGTTTTTAGCATTTGATGCTTTGCAGAAAATGTGTATGCATGTGATGACAATTGTTAAGTAAAGCTTGCAAGTGAAATGTGCACCTGCTAGATTTCCTTGCTGACTGCCTGTACAGAGCCTTAATCCACTGATTCCTACAGACCCAGTCTTCAGTTATAGCATTACAAATGAAGTATTAGAGAAAAGCTTTCAGAGTAGTAAATAGAGCATTTCCTTTGTGGCTTCTGGATCACCTGAAATAGCTTATGGGGGCAAATCTTTGCTGTACTGAAATATGTGAAGTCAGGGAGAGAACCCATGTGCATAGAATTGGGTAACTCCTACAGGTGCCTGCTTTTGCCGGGCTGGACTCTTAACAGTTTTTGAGCCCAATTGTTGAAGTAGTTAACTGTAAATAATGCTTTAATTTGGGAGACAAAGTACAGTCGAAAGTAAGGTAATTCTCTTTTCAGTGTGCTCTACAGAAGTTATGTTTTAGACAGCTGCATCTTTTCATTGCTGCACAGTGTTTACCGCTTTCCCAAGATGCTCTTGCCCTATTTTCAGAAGTTTGCCTTGAAGTGCTACTGATTTTCTTTGGCCTTTAATATTATGCATTATAAATATGATTTGCTTAGAAGTTTGTAATGCCTTTTTATCAGTGGTTGGTATGACTGTGCAGCTGTTCTGCAATTACATACTATGGAGCTGAGCAGAAACTTTAAGACATGAAGCATTTCTAGAGAAGTTTGGTAATTGAAAAAAACCTGCCTTAAAAGTGAACCTCAAATACTGGAAAATGGAAATAGACTTGTCTCTGAAAATGTTATGAAGGTTTTGAATGTCACTGCATTTGAAAGAATATCCACAAGGAGAGTGCTAGGCTCAGCACCAATTTAAATTGTGTTCCCTCCAGTAGAGAAAATTAATTTTAAATGTCATCTGTTTAATTGTTTGTTATGCCTAATTTATTTGATTTATTTGTAGCATAGTTAGTATGTTGCTTTATTAAAGGAATTATAGAAGTTTGATTCCTAATTACAAAGACTGAAGATTTCTTAAAGCATGTATTTAGAAATATTTTTAGTTTTGACAAAATTGGAACCATTTTGGTAATGTGGAATTCTGTCATTCCTGAAAGTTGGATAATGTGCAAAGGAAACATTATACCTTAATTACATTATTCTTACTTTCTAGATGGTAAACATGATAACAAGTAAATGATCTTTCTTACCTTCAGAAATATTTAGCAACCAGACCCCTTACTTATTTTCACAATCGCTTAACCATAGAGATTTTTTTGTGGTCTAGGACACACAGGACGAGAAAAGGCCCATTATGCTGAGGGGGCTAGAGCTGAAGTGGCACTTGTGTTGGAATGGTAGCTGTAAAGGCTGAGATTAGAAAGCAAAATAAATCTGATACAATGTATTTTGGAGGAAGAGGTAAATGCTTATAAAAATTAATAAATTTTTTCAAGAGCTGTTTAACATTGCGGTATTTAAGAGAAAGAAACTGATTAGATGAGATGGACATTTTTATGAACAACATCTTCAAAATGATGTGGAAAGGGCAGAAATACAGATAAGGTTTTTCATCTCTGCTGCAGTGAAATTGACCTTTTTAACTGGTTGGTGGAATTTTGTCTTTTTTTTTTTTTTTTTTTTTTTTTTTTGCATATACAAAAAGATCATGTTGCTAAAATATCTTGAGTTTTCTAGATGGTGAAGACTGTCATTCTCAGTAAGACACTGCTTTGGTAAATGAAAAAGAGTAGGAAGTCTTGGCAGTCATCTTTCATAGTGGTCTTTAGTGCTAATGGTGCCTCTCATGTGAGAACACCACGTACCTCTGGGAACTGGACCTTAACAGAGAGAGGCGCCTTACATTATTTACTGCCTATATTATGGTATCAAATCAGGATGCATGAGGAGCCAAAAAATTCCTTGGCATTTTGCTAGTGAGGAGTGCCCCACTGGAGCTGCTGCAGGGAGGAGTACCACTCTTAGTAACAGTCACTGGACCTCACTTCTTGCTGTGGTCTATTCCTACACTATGTGCATGTGCATATACACATATTTTAAGAAATCAAGGGTGTTTATTTCTTGGTTCAATGCAATATCCCCTTCTTTGCTATTCCTGCCGATATAGTTGGAATTCTCTTTATTTACTACAAAATCTTTCATGTATGTTTGCTGCTGAGGTTCAGCAGCATTTTTAAAACCTCCTTTACAATTTTCATGATTTACTGTATGAAATTTGATATACCTTCTTTTATTTACGGGAAGTTTTAGAGAAAGGAACCCCAAAACCTGACTGTGAAGCTGAAATTCTTAAGGTAGCAACAAAATCTGTACAGGTTTAGGTTCTTTCATGTTTTCAGTGACTGTATTTTATTTACTTTCCTCTGTCAGGGCATAGAGAAGGACTAAAATTAGGTCAGATGATGCTTACTTCCATTTACCTTTTATATTTACATCAGAATGGAGGCAAATATTTGGTGGTTCTTTGGTACACAGAAAGATATCCGAATATTATTGAGGCTGGGACTTTAATCCAGCCTCTCCCTGCAGTCATTGGAGACCAGTAGGTTTCCAGTAGAGGTTTATTAGTCCATTTAGATGTGAATTGCGCAGTGGTAGTTCCTATCTTTCTTGATGAACTACAGAGAGCACTGAGGACAACTTAAAGCTCAGTCTAGTCACCAGTAAGGTAGGATGAGACAGTCTCCTGCTCAAAGCAGGGTAAGCTATGGGATCATGTCAGTTGCTTAGATCTGATTTTTATCTGATTGGGTCTTGAAAACCCCCAAGAATGGAGGGAGACTCTGGGCAGTGTGTCACACTGTCTGACTGTCCTTATGGTGAAAAAGTTTGTCCTCATGTCAGTCTGAGCCTTTGTTGTTTCAGCTTTTGTCTCGTCTTTCACTCTGCCACCACCTGGCTGTGAAGTCTAACCATATTTTCTGATGCTGGAGGATTGGTGTTCGGTTCCCCTGGAGCCTACTTTGCTCCAAGCTGAGCAATGCCAGCTAGCTCAAATTCTCCTCACAGGGCAAGGACTTCAGCTCCCAGTCACCGTGGTGGCCCTCTGCCGAACTTGGTCTGGTTTATCCCTTTCTGTCTTGTACTGGGTGACCCAAAACTCTGCACAGTATTCCAAGTATGGTCTAACAAGTGATGAATGGAGGGTGATAATCCCTTACTTTTATATACTGCTCCTATTACTACAGCTCAGGATATTGCTGGTCCTCTTTGCTGCCAGGGTGGCTCATGCTGCTGTCATCAAGGGCCTTTTCTGCAGAGCCGCTCCCCATTCATCACTTTCCAGTCTGTAGCATTGCAAGGATTTCCTTCTTAGGCAAGGATTTGCGTTTGTCCTTACTGAATTTCATGAGGACCCTATTGGCATGTTTCTCAAGCCTGTGTATGTCGCTTTATATGAGAGCCGTGCCCTGCAGCATATCCAGTGTTCCCCCAGTTTGGTGTAATGATGAGAGTGTACTCCATCATCTCAGTAACCTGCAGGTCACTGGTGAATATGTGAGACAGGATGGGTTCCAGGATAGACCCCTATGGTAGTCAACTTGTTACTAGCTTCCAGATGGAGTATGGCCCTTTAGTCATGACACTTCCCTGATAGTCTAACTGGATTTTCGCTTGTCCAGTTCTTCACCAGCACATTGTAAAGTTGTAGCTTGGATACCAGAATACTGTGGGGTATGGAGTCAAAAGCTAAAGTCAATGTAAATGGCATCCCCTGCTCTCTGCATTACCCCATTACTATACTGTAGAGAGATATCAGGGTGGTCAGGCATGATTTTTTTTTTTTTGAACTCCTATTCCTGATCCCTGCATCCTCCTCCTGTATATTGCCTTTTAAAATCTCCACACCATAGGTTCCCTCTTCAGTCATGCTGATTTTCTGGTAAAGTTGATGGTCTTTTTGAATATTGATGAGGATTGCTCTTGAACTTGTAGGATGCTGTCTGACAGACCTGCCAACTTTCCTGAACTCCTTTCCTTTTCACACCTGCCATAGAATCACACCCAGCAGTTTCCTGAATAAGTTGAAGTCTGCTGATCTGAAGTCCAGACTGTACTCTTCTGTCTTACACTAGATATCAAGAAGTAGAGTCCAGAAAAGTTTTTCAGTTATTTGTTACTTTTGGCATTCAATATCTTTATCTGATTTCTAGTCCTAATTTTTTTACTTTCCTTATTTTAGCTACTGGATCGTGTAATGATTTTATTTTTATAAGGAAATAAGTTTTCTGTGAGTTGAAGAAACTAATGTATTAGACTGTCAAATCACCTCCTGATCTTTAGTTGTTGAATTCTCTCTTATCTCAGCTGCAAGGCACTATCATTAAGAAGCAGCTGTACTAACAGGTGACTCATACAAGCAGGTGCAAATTATCTGAGATATAGGAAACTTTCCCTCAAGCAGCTATAATGAAGTATTAGAGATGGTTTTTAGAGAGCTGCTGTGGCTGTAGTCGGTTGGAGGGAAAAAAAAGCAGCCTAGATTTCTATTTTGTTATTGTTTGAGTTAACAATAAAAGTCAAAATTCAAGGAGTAAGTAAGTTTTGACTCCATAGAACATCTGTTGACTAATCAAAGCAGGTATTCCAGACTCTACCTTCC